AATTTTTCATATTTTTTTAATTTAAAATGACTATTTACTGATTTTTTTTATAATAAAAATTTATTTAAAATGAGTTTATATTTTCTATAATAAAGTTTTCAATGTTGACCTATCTTTCTCCCAACAACTGAAAAGTGGTGTCTCAAGTTTCAGACAACCAACCAATTGTTTTAGTTGATGACCAACTGAGAGAGACAGTGAGGACAGAAGGTTAAAAAAGAAAGAGAAGACTAACTGCTAATTGGTTTCAAATCATTCTCATTTTAATTCTTTAGTATCATATATCAGGATAATTATTTTCTTTCTTTTACAGTAGTTGGGGGTGAAGAGACATAAAGAAATCCTTTTTTTAAAAAGCATTGAAAAAATTAATTCTGTAGTTTTTTAAGGTCAAAATATTGTTGCATTTTTGTAGCTTTCATTAATGAATAGATCTGGAATTGGTCTCCAAGTTATTATCACTAGCCAGCTAGTATAATTGGAATTAGGTTAACAACAGCAACAACATAATTATTTCTAATGCCATGTCCCTTAAAGTGATAGGTGAATATTTCTCTCCACATATTCCTTTTCTTTAATATTTATGAATTATCATGATTTCTTGGGAATGATAGTGGTTTACTGTTGCTTCCTCCAGTTTTGAATTAAGAGTAGTCCTTCTCCTAGACTGGTTGCCACCCAAGATTTGAGAAACTAATCTCCTGTGCTATTCAATCCATAACTGGAGTGAAGGAGAGAGGGATTCACACTTTTTTCAAGGCATTTGTGTGAAAATTGAACACAAAAGACTAGGCTGGAATTTGAACTTGGCTCATAGATTTCACTTTCTACACTGATAGCCATTATGCTACATATACATCTTTTAAATCTGTAGCTGGCTTGGACTTCTGATTGCTACAATATAAGTAATAATGCATAAAAAAACAATTATCTATTGATTCAAAAGGTTGACTGGATTAATGATTTTGTAGTACTGGAATTAGTGGAATATATAAAATGAAACTAATTTACAAGGAACACTTTGAAAGTAATGTCTCCTATTTGTTTCCATGGAAAGCCACAACAGATACAGAGGACACAGTAACACTGTTGGAAAGAACAGGTTTTCATCTATAAGAACACTATCTACACACATAGTTACCGCCCCCATGCTATGATCGTAAAAATGGCTTGTTGCATGGATTGCTTTAAACAATGCTTTTCCCACTATATTACTGTGCTCACAACCACTGTTTGGTCATTACAAATATTCAGATGAGGAGAATTAACTAACACTAGGTGAAGATAATTAACTAACTCAAGATGTGGAGGATTATATAAAGAAAGAACTGAGAAGAATTAAAAAATTATAAAATTGATATTTAATTGATACTGGTTTCATTTTTAGGATAAGTTTATATTTATATGGGTAATATGTCAGGTGAGTTTCAGCTTATAATATTTTTACTTGTGGGGAAGAAGTTTTTATTATGCAAACTCAATGCAACAGAAAAATTTTCATTTATAAATAAATTCAAAAGATATTGACCATAGAAACATTCATTTGATTAACACAATAGCCCACATACCTGAATATTTTATTATTTCAAATGTTAGTATAGGTTCAATTTATACTCTATATTTCTCAGTCTTTTATTCATTTTAACAATTTTTCTATTAGATTAATATTTGAAGAGGGTGGAGGCCTTTCTTGTAAGTCAGTATCATTGCAATTTTTTTTTTGGCAAGGTGGGCAACAGCTTTGCATCTTGCAAGAATATATTTTTGAACAATAAGATTCTACGTTGCGACTTGTACCAATTTCCAAACCAAGTAAATGCTTACAGGCTTAATTTTTTTTTATTCTGTGTCTCTTCAGGAGGTAGGTGATCATTATTTTTCACATATTTTTCGTTATTATCCATTAATTGCCATGCATTCTTGGGAAAAATAACTCTAATTCCAAAAGATATTAAAAACACTAGATGACATCAAATTATTAGGAACAATGAATTAAAATCAATGATTAAGATATTCAAAGTATACTATTAAGATGTTAAAAATTATATGCCTATTCTCTCAGCAATGCTTGCCTTCATTTCCAACTCCCAACAATTCCTTTATTATAAAATAGCCTGACAATAATCAGTTGGTTATGTTCCTTAGGGTTTGATGCATTGTGCATCTCTGTTAATGATCAAGAATAGCAAAAGAGCATCATGGTTGGGAATTGAAAGGGTTTTTTTTTTTTATTTGACAAAGGATACAGCCAAGGTCACTTGAAAGTCCCACCTAGTTACTTGGATAAACTCTCAATTGGAGACATGAGTCTATGTCTAACTAGGCTTCACCTGCAAGATTATGTGCTGCTTTTATCAAGACCTCTCACCTTGCATGTGATGCATGTTCCTGGTACACCCTTGTCAGACTGGGTATCATGATAGGTATATTGGGTTTTGTATATATTTGTACTCCAGCATTATTTTGTTGTGTGTTGCTCTCTTACACAATAATAAAAAAAGAAAAAAGATTTTGATCCAGCAAAGATTGACATGTAAAAATCAAACAATCCATCCAAATTTAATTATGAAAATATTATTGCATAATAAATCTTGACACGGTCTAGAATTTAATGATTGCCAAAGAATGCTACTAATTTTCTGAACATGCCAGAAACAATTTATCCAAGTAAAAATTTGATTAAATTGTTCATTTCAGTTTGTCCAAAATCCTGCTTTTTCTTTTTTTTGAAGCTATCTCTTTTGGGGAGGGCATCTCTCCAGATAACACCTACAAATTGCACTTAATGTGGTAGGGTCAAGTTTTAGAGGGAAGTGTCAAGAAAAATGGGCACTTTTTGGATCTACTCACATGAACGCATGAACTTTAAACGACCTTCTCTCATACCTTTAGGAGCATGGAGTGCTTTGACATGGTATAATTGTTAGCAAGCTTATCTCGCTAGATCAATTACAACTGAATAGTGAGTTTGATCCTCACTGGGTGCCCCATAGTTTTGACCTTGTGCCACATCTAAGCTATACTTAGAAAATCACCATACCATCAAAAGCATGGATGGGAGGTAAATTGTTTCTCAGCATTTTGGTTAAGGGCAAAGTGCAGTATCTGTTCTTGTGATAGGGTTATGATGTTGGTACTTCTATACGAAAAAAAGTATGTGCGTGTTTTACTGTTTTCTAAAAATAAACAAGATAAACAAATGAAAAAATAAGAAAAAGTAAATATTTTATTTTAATGCCATTATTTATGTTACTTATTTTATTGCTAGTGAGTGATATTCAAAATGTTTTTTTTTAAATCATTATTTATATTGCTATGAAATTTATATTGAAAATCTGACATTGTGAATGTAAAACATTGAAGTCAGATATTAAATAGATAAGAACAAATACTTTATTCTCTTCTTTTTGAAAAGGTGTATAAGCCATATTTTGAATGGGACTATACAAATCAGATTGTGCCAATTGTCTTATAAATCTTCAAAGTCTTTTTTTAATACTGAGAAAAGTTTTCCAAGAAGGTTAAAAAAACACAGACTAATCAAAATGAAGCTAAAATCATATGTACATAGATTTATGCAGAAGGATGGGCCATAGAAATTTTAAAATAAAAACTTTTTAGTTATTTTTAATTTTCTTTCATATTAATTAATACTTCATCTAAAAAAATAATATTGTTGCTACTCTAAAATTTTTTATTTAAGTTTGCAAGTCAGGCAACTACTACAGACTGGTGAAAATGACAGCTTCTTCTTTTCAAGTGCTATTAAAAGACACATCTCCAAATTTACAAATATTAATACTAATCAATAATTATACTCATTTGCAAATTAAAGCAGAAAGCTGGTTAGCCATATATATAAAATAAATATTAACAAGTTCATTGTCTTTTTAAATGTATCTTTAATTTTGATAATTTTCTTATATATATAAATATATCCGGTCCCTTGAGTTAACAAAAGTCTACAGTCAGCTACAGCTATCTTTGTGGTTAACAGATGGAGTGTGGAGGTGGAGAGATATACTTATTTAGTTTGGGGAGTGACAAAAGACAAGCTATGACATCTGGTTGCTATCCTCTCACAGGTGTGTGTGTGTGTGTGTGTAAACAAAACATTAATGGGAACGTCTATGACTATTTATACATTTCATCTGTGTGAACTTCTCAAGTATGCTTAATTATGCCCAATGTGCCCATGTGTGTAGCTTGTTAATGATAATAAAGTTAATGAATGACTCCTGTCAAGGTTGACAATGGATGTGACAGTTTTTTTACTGTTCCTACTGTCTGAGCTGTCAGTAGTTATGGAAGAGTGATTTCTTCACCTGTTAATTGATCCATTCTCATTTCTGTCAACCATGACATGTAAACCAAGGCAGTTTTTGTCCAGATATCTGACAATGGGATAGAATACAGGGAGAAATAAATTTGTGCCTTTTCCCAAAAGTATTTAGAGCTACTCTGTGCATGTTAATACATTGGTTAATTAACTAAATAATTAGGGCACATTACCATGGAGTAAGAGTCATCACCATCAGTCTCATGACCGGATGTAGTTGTAGCATCACAGTGCAGCTGAGAACCTGACCAGCTCCCTCCACTGGTTTTGGTTGCATACCAATGTCTGAGTCTCTGTGAATGATCTATTAGTCCATTCAGTAACTTTGTTGGTCCATTTTTTTTTCTGTTTGTCCCTTCTTATAGCCTAAGTTAGTATCTTGTAGGATGGCTCAGTGGTTAATGAGTCAGCAACAAGCTATTCTTGCAAAATATTTATAATGTTAAGGAGTTAGATTTTCATTGGATGTTCCACATGTGGTTTAGTTTGCTATATTGAGGGTAAGTTTTAAACTTAAGTATTTTTTGTTTTTGAGTGTTACATTTTTATTTATTTATTTTTCACATGTTTCAGCTAATTGGGTTTACAACTGATAAAAAGGATAGTCTTTTTCCATTTGGCCCTATTTTTCTACCTGTTTTCTAAATAATTAGGACTTGCAGGCCATATCACACTGAATCACTGGTTCTCATGCTATCAACAAAGTTAAGCAATCTTGAGCCTGGTCAGCCCCTAGATGGATGACCACTTGGGAATACCAAGTGTTGTAAGTTTGTATGTGCAGTTGGTATAATGGATAATGGCTCAGAATTGGAAATCAGACAACAGAGTTCTAATTCCATTTGGGTTCGTTATATTCACTTATGTACAAACACCCAGGGGAAAGTGTTGTAACCTAGGAAATGTTGTTACTGAATAGAATAATCACATGAAGGTTGGTAATGAATGATAACACTTAGGACAAGAACAACACAAATAAGATTTGCCAGCGGTGCATAGAATTAGTTAACTGCTAGAAGTGAGTCAAGTGAATTCCACAGTGAATCTCCAACTGCAGACCAACACACAGTATTTACTACTGTATTTATGTGAATGGGGACATACCCATTATCATCCATAGGTATGCTACAACAGAAAAGTATGAATCTACCTATTCTCCCCCAGCTATGTGTTAATTAATAGGACTTATATCAATAAATCATTATTATCTCCAAAAAATTCTTACAATCTAAAAGTATTTTCTGGCTTTAAATAATTGGTCAAAGGTTGATAAAACATAAAAAACAAATCCATCAATCTAAATAATTTTTTTAATATTTCATTATGTCTGACTGATTTTCCCACCTTCTTCATATTGTCTTCCTTCAACAAGTGACTCAACTACAAATCCTTTCTACAAAAGTAATATAACTAACATTCATGGCTGAAATTAATGTATTTCTCAATTACACCAGATTATGGTGTTCAAGCACATGTAAAAAAACAGAATTTTAAATGCTGATTTTGCAGGCAGGTTTTATGCACTTGGAAGGTTTAGTAACACCCTCCTCCCTGCTATTTCCTATATTTGGCCTTGACTTGCACTTAGCTAAATGCTGAGTAAATATGGATTGCAGTCATTTCCGTGAACAGGAATATCAGCTGGAAATAAAAGTAAGAATAAAAAACAAATATTCATACTTGTGTTTCAGAAGACATATACTGATGTCATATATATATATATATATATATATATATATATATATATATATATATATATATATATATAATATAAGTGAGTGGATATGATAAAGAATTTTTTTGACATATTTAATTGGATAATGTCAAGGAAATGTTTGTATGGAACAGTTTATCTGTAATAATGTATGTTTGCTATGATGTATCATTGTTAAAAAATGCAAGCATATCCTAAATTACTTCAAAGTGAAACTGATAAAGAATTCTTTATCTTTCTTTCATATATATATATATATATATATATATATGTGTGTGTGTGTGTGTGCGTGTGTGTGTGTGCGTGTGGAGAGAGAGAGAGAAAGAGAGGGAGAGAGGAAGGGGGATAAGCTAAAGTCTGTTGTTTTATAATGTACTAAAATTTTGTTTATATCTAAGAGTGTATGCCATATATGCTTTTATATTTTGGGTACATTCCCCAAAATGATGAAATCTATCCACATGAATTAGTATAACTTATATGCGGCTAACATCAACAAGGTAGGTACCAAAGATAATTTTTTATAAAAATTTAAAAACATTGCAATAATTTAAATATCTTTTTTTTAAAGTTGAAAAAGTTGAAATTTTGTTGTTAACTGAAAAACATTTGAAATAAAAATTACTTATGTGAAGTTAAAACAGGTTTTAGATTGATTCATAATTTTCATTTTTTGTAATTCAAAATTAACTTCAAATATGTCTTGATTATGACAGAAAAATTTCATCTCTAATTAAAAAACTTCCAAAATTAAAGATAAAGACCATGGAAATCAAAAAAAAATCAATAAAAACATAAAAAATAGAAATGATAAGCTGGGAAGAATGAAATAAAAAATAAATACATAATGAAAAGTCTCTTTTCATTATAATTAAAATGTAAAGTATGAATATATAAAGCCAGCTATGATGTATAGATACAAAAAGATGGAAATTAACTAAACAGCTTAAAAAAGTTCAAGTTTAGAAAATCAAATGCAGTTATTATTTTACATTGATTTATGTAAAATAAAACCAGAGAAAAAAAACAAATAAAAAATATATGAAAATATGCCAAAATCAGTTTATAAAATTATCAATTCTCTCTTGTTTGTGTCACCAGGAATCCCCGTCATAATTTTGGCATTCATAGACCAGTAAAGAATTTCCTTTCCGAATTTCATCACTTCAATACAACATTCCATGAAGCAATGGTTAGCAAAATAATCTAAAAATCTATAAACAGTGATTTCAATCCTCACTGGATGACCCTCTGTTATGACCCTGTGTTAGAGTAGTGAAACTTTGTAAATAGCCACTCCTTCCTAAAAAATAAAAATTACTGCTTAAAATGATATAAAAAAATAGAAATTGAGATTTTAAGCCTAATATCAAGTGTTTTATTGACCAGAAAAAAAAAACACCCATTTGAAATAAAAGTAAAATTCTCCCCTCCTATGAGCAGTCAGTCAAATTTTGGGAAAAGCTCAAAATGACTCTTGAATAGATTTTTAGATTACTCTTTTGTATTAATGAGTTAATGTCCTTCAATAAGCACCATCTTTATTTGCAATGGATTTTTTTTTTTTATTAATGGAGTCATGAGAACTTCAAGAAATCCTACTCTTTAGATTCAATTTTTTTTATTAATAGAGTCATTAGATTTTTAAGAAGCACCATTCGTTAGATCCAATTTAATATAAACATCATACCAACTGTTCCACTGGGCCTCGGTGACGAAGAGATTGCAAATCAGACTCAATATAGCACCACTCACTCACATATTCCATTGGTATGATGTTTGCATGACAACTTAACTGTCAGGGTTTCAATTCTTGGTAGTGGATGCGCACTGCTGATGAGTCCCAAATATAGGACGAAACGGCCGTCCAGTACTTTCTGCATTATGTTGAGGTTTCTTTCAGACTCGATGAATTACTTAAATTATATATATATATATATATATATATATATATATATATATATATATATATATATATATGTATATGTATGCTTAGAAGTAACCAACATTATGGTTGAGTGCATATTCTCCACTGGTATCAATGATCAGTGTTCAATTCCTATCAAAAGGCTAGGATTTCAAATACTGATTTCTTAAGGCAGGCAGGCCCTCCTCACTGACAGTACAATCTTCTTAGCCTTTACTTAGCTTGATGCTGTACTCAGCTGAGCTTATATATCTTCATAGGAATCAAAACTAGGGGATGTTTGACTTTAGGTAGGACTCTGGATTAAATCGAGAAAGAATTGTAGTGAATAATTTTCTAATGGTTGTGGGGCAGAGGTTATAGTGAGGAAAACCAAATGTCAGAGAAGAATACATGACAGAACATGATTATTCACCCTATTCACTGATTGTACCTAACAGGCCTGTTCCTACTAAAGAAAAAGAAAAGAAAAATAAGTGTTTATAAAAGTATTATTACCAAATGAAATGAAATGAACACTGTTCTTAAAACCAGCTAACAGATCTTTGGAAAATTTTCAGAGCTGAATATCTGGAAATTATTAAATTTTAAAGTCAAAATATTCAATATGATGATGACAATAAAAAAAGGTATCTTATTATGGTAGAATCAATTACAATATAGTTTTCAAGACAATTACTGTCGTAGTAGTTTTCACTGGATGCACTATATAGCACTGTACATCCTTCTTCATGTGCCATGTCCCCTCAGGACATAGGCTCACCACAATTTTCTGTCCTTTGTAGCTCTTAATAAATTATGTCTTCCTGTTATATCTCTTAAACCTTGTTCTTCCATCCATTTAATTAAGCTCACCAAGTATATTATACATTGCTTTCCTTTGTCACTCTTGCCTTCAATCTGTCCTGTGAGTATCAGATTTTCTAAGACTTCTTCCCTCATTATGTGCCTGAGAAATTTGTTGTTGCTCACATATCCTTCTGTAGAACCATATTTCTGTTGCTTCAAGTCTTTTCTTCATCTTTGAGATTATCCAGTATTCACTACCATATAGGACAGATATAATATCATTCATTACTCTTTTCAAATGAAATTTTTCTGTTTCTTAATATTCTGCTTAGCTTTTGGAAGGCATCTTTCACTATTCCAATGAACCTTTGGATTTCAGTGTCATACTATCCATCCTCTGTTAAAACACTTCCCAGCTATTTAAAATTTTTGTACTTGTTTAATTTTGGTATCTCTGATTTGTAATTTGCATTTTGGGTTGTTACTTTTGCTAACAACCCTGCATTCTGTCTTTTTTTAAAATCAAATTTTCTTTCTTCTTTAGAACAGGTGTCTACTGTTAAGTAGATACTACCACAAATTCAGTAAGGTTTAAAATTAATTTTTACAAATGAAAAAGCTTTGAATTTAGCTATAAATGAAAGCTAAAGGATTAAATTTACTATATTCAGTAAGCAAAATACTTTGGTGCATTTCAGACAAAAATTATATTGATTGGATCAATACAGTTGAATTTTTTTTCAGTAAAATAATCGATCACGTCAGCCATTTTTTAGACATTTGTAAATCTTGCAAAAATAAAATATACCTTTCTTTCTGAAAAGCTATTTGAGGAAAATTAGCAAATTTAAAGTTAATCTGATTTGAAACAAATATTACTTACTTATAGCATAAAATGTTGTATACAATCATTTCCTAATGATGTGGTCTTGTTTTTCTGACGTGTTAATTGATTTATTGATGGCGGATTGACTGCCGAACGTGATCATAATTATGGTGCTTGGTAAAAATGGCAACGGTAAAAATGGCAAAAGTGGATAAATACGAAAAAATGGCAATTTGACAACAGAAAATTATGACCGTTCGAGAAGGATAGGTCTAAGCTCCCATCCCTCTAGTTTAAAATAGGGCTAAGTCCCCCACTCAATATTTTAAAATAAATATTTTTAAATAGATATTTACTCTAGTGGGGAGGGGGTAGTTAGGCTCCTTCTCCTCTTGTTTTAAAAGGGGTTAAGTTCCCGCTCCTAGTATTAAAAAAACATTTTTTTTTAATTTTCGATGTCGATTTTGAAGTTTTATTGGGGGGACGCTAGGTTCCTACTCCCTAATTGCAGTAA